TGATTTTAATGTGCACACATTTATCACTTCCATCATTTCTAAATCCATTTGCTCACATGATTTGATCAAATTTCTTATGTCATTGTTTGGGTGCTTGTTTTAGTCCATAATGTGACTTAACATGTTCGCACACTTTCTTTTATTTACCAGGAATCATAAAATTTTCGGACAGTTCCATGTAAATTTCTTCCTCCAATTCTCCGTTTAATAGAAATGTTTTAACATTCATTTCATGAATTTAGAGGTCATATATCACAACTAGTAATATTAGCATCCAAATGAATGTAATTCTATTGACTGACCAGTATATATATCAGCAAGATCAAAACTTTGTTTTTGCCTAAAGCCTTTGGCACAGAGTCTTGCTCTATATTTGTCAACATTTTCATCGACTTTCATTTTCCTTTTGAGGATTCACTTTGAACCCAAAAATTTATTTCCTGGAGAAAGATCAACCAAATTCCAATAGGATTGCTCAAGATTGAACCAATCTCACTATTGACACCATCTGCCCAAAAGGATGAGTCTACATAAGACACAAGAAATGTTATAAAATTATATTCGAACGAAGTATATGTCCTTTAACATTTACTACGCCTCTGAATCTCTTTATTAAATACATATCCTTTTGTTCTTTTCGAGGTCATTTAGACCTTTCACTAGACTACTCAAATCTAATTTTGCAGTCCACAGTCTTAGGCCTTATTTCAATCCTTTTAGAAATAGGAACTTGGACTTTGGCTAGACACCCCAACACACTTTGAAATATTTCAAGTTGCATTCTTTCTTTCTATTTCTCATATGAAATAGATTGTGTCCTGAACAAATAAAAAAAAATTTAAAGAATTTTTTTTGTTGTTTCTTTAACCAGTAAGGATAGTTCTTCAACACAAATTTTATGGTAAACTCCAACTTATAAATAAAACATTCATTATTTCTTTCAACATTCGGTTTTTCTTTAGATTGAGGTGAATACAACAGTAATTTGATGGATAAATCCACTTTCCAAACATATTTCTGCACAAGGAGATTCATACTCTCAATTATTATCACTTCTTATCTTTTTCCCAACTAATTTTCAACTTTGATAGTGTATTGTCTAAACATTTCTATTGCTTCATCCTTATCAATCAGCAAATAGACAGTCATTTTTAATGCAATTGTCAATGAAAGTTATGAAATACTTTTCACATCGAGATGGTGTTGTCTTCATCTAACAAATGTCACTAAAGGATTATAATTCCTTTCAACAGGTTTATAAGAATGCTCAACATACTTAGATTCCACAATAACATGACATTTTTATGTATTGCACTCAAAGTTACACAATTTCAAAGTTGATCGGTTTTTTTTACAAGGTTTTGTAAATGACATGCTCTTAGTATTCATGTCAAAAACTTTGACTCAAGCAAGTAAGAATAAATAAAAATATTGAGTTCAAAAAGCTATTCGCGAGGTAGCTTTTTTTCTCACTAATATTCCCTCCCTATTTCTTACAATTTTGTGCGATACAAACATGATTTAGAGTCATCACCTTGTCAAATGTCCTTTTTAAAAGGACCTTTTCATAACTTTTAATTTGATTCTCATAGAACTACCCACGAACAAAATTTCATCGAGTCCAATAAGGGCAATATAAATTCCAAATACTTCTTTTACAAAACATGACAAATGACTATTCACCAATATTCATGTCTATACAAATAGTTATATTTAATCGACGTATCTTTTCATGAAAAATCACATCACTTCAAGTGACACTTTTTTTTTAAAAGAACACAATCATTTTGAACAAGTATACATATAATTTGGCAGTTTCATACTAGTTACACCGTATACTAGTAAACGATAAACTCAACGACCAAAATATAAAATATACTCTAATAATTTTGTGCTCTAACATAATACAAAAGTATCATAGAAAATCTATCTTGTGCTCAAAATTTAAAATAGACACCAAGTCCATTTGTAACTTTATTGTACAAAAAGAATCCCACATTTTATATATGATCTCAAAAATATTTTTCAAGCATTTGAGAAAAAAATTTCACATATTTTAATATGATTTTTTTTTGGAAATATTATTCTACGAAAGGATTATAGTGCTGCAATTCTCTTTGACAATGTCTACACAATGTCAAAGTTCATTCCACGGACACACAAACTCACAAACTCTAAGTCACTTGTATTTTATCTCTACCACAAATAGTCATACCACTTAGTATTTAGAATACTAACAATAAGGACTAAAAATTTTGTAATTTATTTCTATACAACATTAAAATTTATATAAATCAGTAGTACAACATTGACTTATTAAGTGAAGTTTTCATATAAGCCAATTGCATAATCTGATTTATCCAGAATAGAAACTACAAATGTTTTTGTATTCTACAAAAATCAGACACAATTAAATTTCACATGAAGTACAAAACTACAAAGGATTTTTAGTCTCCAAATAGAATCAAACATATTCTTTATTACATAGAAATGTTTTTCTTTTCAATAGTCTTCAAACTTTAACATTTTGACATACAATTTTATCAAAAAAAATAATGCATCTCTCATTTTGCAAATTAAAGAATTTTAAATGCAACACTATTTGTCAAGCAAAATTCATTCCACGACATATAGTTTGCAAATCTTTTTCCAATGATACACATGATAAAAAATAAAAAGTGTAACTCTTAAAAACTATTTCCCTTTTTAGGCAAAATAATAAGAAGGTTATTTGGTGTAATTTTTAACCGGAATACCACCTATTTTTATTTTTTGCACATTCTCACTTCAACCTTGATAAACAAAGTACCGAATTGTAGAGAAGTAATGCACTAATCTTCTACTTCCATGATAGGATTTTCAGAATCAATAGAATACAAAAAATACTAATAATATAATATTTTACTTATGATTGTTGTTCATCTTGTATTCCTAAAATAATTAAAATAAAACTTTGAAGAACTTGGTAACACACAACAAAGTTTAAAAATATTTTCAAAACTAGAATATTAAAACTACTAACCGAAACTAAAATCAGAAACAGATTACAAAAAATATATAAAATATTTTTCTTAAAGAAGAATTATTGTAAATATGTATTTAAAGAATCTTACTGATTTCAACAAGCTTTGTAGAAACACGAAGTTACCAAAGTTTTAATGAACCAGTGAAGAATTATAGAAGAACAAAAATTAGTTCACAAATCTGAAATCTGTAACACATACTAGAGTCTTGAAAAAATAGAAAGAAGATCAAACCTACTGAATGCATAGTAGGGGTGGGCATAAAAACCGAAAAACCGAAACACCGAATCGAACCGAAATTTTTCAGAATTTCAGTTTCGGTATTTCGGTTTTGGGTACGGTATTTGGTTTAATTTTTTGTATTTTCGGTATTTCGATTCGGTTTTCGGTACATATTACTTTGGAATTCGGTATTTAGGTTTAAACCGAAATATTATATTATAATTTATAAATTATATTATATTTAATAATTATTAATATTAAATAATTTTTTTAAAAAAAATAAGAAACCCTAAGTTAAAATATCAAAGCCCATTAAGTTGAAAAATCAAACAAAAAATTGAAAAAATTGTTTAGTTTAAAATTTTAAAAAGCCCACTAAACAGGCCCATTAAAAAATCGAAATAAAAAAACGAACCGAATTAATAAAAACCGAACCGAAGTAACAAAAACCGAACCGAACCGAAATATTTTGATTCGGTATTCGGTACGCAATTTACAAAAATCGAAAACCGAAAAAACCGAAAAAAAAAACCGAACCGAACCGAAATACCGAATGCCCACCCCTATAATGCATAGTGTCTCCTTAAGGAAACTATTCCCTGTAACATTTGAGGTTTTATTTGTAATGTGTCCTCCTAATGTCTGCGAGTCACTCAACGGCAGTAAAATACATGTGGTATACTAGATTTAGTAATAAAAGAAAAAGTCTGAAAAATCTCTTTTTAAAATGAGAGGAAATCCTTGAATTTTATAGAAAACACAGGGTAGTGCGAAAATGTTCTTATTCTGCCTTACCGGAAAGCTCAGAAACCTTTGAAAAGGTCATAATCTTTTGGAAAGGTCATCACCTTTCATAAAAGTCACAACTTTCCATAAGAATCTTAACTTTTCATAAAAGTCGCAACCTTACATGAAGGTCGCAACCATTCATAAAAGTCACAACTTTTTATGAAATTCGTAACTCTTCATTTTCCATTCACACCGTTTAAAACTCAACATATGTATATACTCGTAATGCGGACACAATATGGTGATATACTCGTAATACTGACACAACATAGTGATAGACTCGTCTATGGTTTCAACATTAAAATATTATGCGTATTTATAATAGAAATTTAATTAGTTTTCAAAAAGAAAATTTATTATGATATTTTGAATAAACAATATAAAAATAATAATAAAATATCACACGAGTGATTATTTTACCATCGTTTCAAACAATATATTTGAATTAAATAATTAATTTAATTATATACTTTTTTTTAATTCAAAATTCACCAATATAATAAATTAAAATTATGAATCTCATTATATTAACAAATCGGAGAAGGGTCTAAAATACCCTTATAGTATTAGAATTGGTACAAAAATACCCCTCGTTTAACTTTTGGCCTTAAAATACCCTTGGGGTTAACCTTTAGGGACCTATTTTGCCCTTTTGGCTAACAGAATACCAAGTCAATATTTTTAATTATTTCATTTATTGCGTGGCATGTTGTAATTGGTTAAAAATTTAATTAATTAAAATCCAATTAGTTTGACCCAAACCACCCTATCCACCTGGATCGACCCGACCCATCTTTCAAAATACCCAACCCATCCAAATAAAACATCCACTACCCATTTCTTTTTTTAAAAACCCTAAACATTTCCCCCAACATCATCAGCTCTTGGATCGCGGCGATGTTCAAGTTAAAGTGAAAAAATCGATTTTCTGCTCCGATAAAGTAAGAACTGAAGACTTACTTTTAATAATTTTCATAAATATTGTGTAATGATTGTTCGATTAAATGTATTTCGTAAATAGTTAGGGTTTAGTTTTATTCAATTTTTGATTGCATTTTGTCTCTTGTATTGTAGCATTGTGAAGTTTGTGTAGTGTTAACATTATAGATTATTTTCTGATGTTAGAGTCTTTTATCGCTTCTTTCATGTGTTATAGATTGTTCTCGAGTGAGGTATGTGTGTGATTGGTATGTGTATGACTTCATCGGTCCCAATTTGTGCCTTTTTGTTTGTTTTGTGTTGTATTCCATGTGAATAAATAATGTTAGTGGTCCCTATAACTTTACTACCTTTATCTTTATATTAAATAATGTTAGTTTTCCTATAAGTTGTTTTGTTTATAGCTGACAATTCCTTTTCATTTTCTTTGTCTTCCATGTGAAAAATTTGAAGAATGACCAAAAAAGTGGATTTAGTATTTAACTATGGGGGCAAGTGGGTCCTTTCTCCTCAAGTTGTATACATTAAAAAAATAAATGAAATCTGGCATGGTTATGATGTGGATTTGCTGTCATATATTGACATTTGCTCAGAGTTCATTAATAAATGTGGGTTTAGGGCTGTGAAACAAATGTTAGTAACAGCACCAACTGGTAGGTATTATTTGCTTGAGAATGATTCAAGCATTAGGACTCTACAATCTGCTCTGTCTAGCCAGTTTAGTGTTCTTCAATTATTTGCTGTAGATGAGGGTGAAGCTACTGTTGTTATTCCTAATATTTGTGACCTGAACAAGCCTTACCCTGTTGTGCCAGTAGAGGTAGCAACAGATTGTGAATCAAATGAAGAGGATGAGGATCAGAATGAACCTATTCCTAGTGATTACAATAGTGATGAGTTGGAAGTCTTTAGAAAGGAAAAAAAAGAGAGATCAATGACAAGCTAGACAGATTCTTAGAGTTGGAAAAAGGTATGTGCTTTAAAGATCTTAAAGAAGCTAAACGAATTGTGAGTTTTTACTCTATTGTTAGAAAGGTTGCACTTAAAGTTGAAAAAAGTGACTATACAAGATTGAGATATTTGTGTGATATTGGTTGTCCATTTGAGTGTTTGATATCTGAAGATAGGAAAATCAGGGATTCAAAATTAAAACCTTGAACACCAAGCACTCATGTGGTGAAAATGCTTTTAAGAATAGAAAAGGCACTCAAGAAGCTTTAGCACACTACTTCAAGAAAAAACTTTAGAATAATCCAAAGTACAGTGTTAATGATATGAGACAAGATTTGGATGATAATTTTAATTTGAATGTTAGTTATTCCAAGATGAAGAGGGTTAAAAGGCTCGTGTTAGAGAAATTGGAGGGTAGCTACATTGATGAATTCAATAAGTTAGAGGGTTATGCTCAAGAATTGAGGGACAGCAACCCAGGTACTGATGTTATCATAAATACATCTAGAGAGGCTTTGGAACAAGGAAAAAGAAGATTCTTAAGAATGTATGTATGCATTCAAGCTTTAAAAAATGGATGGAAAGGAGGTTTGAGGCCTTTTATAGGGCTAGATGGGACCTTTTTAAAAGGAAAATGCAAGGGAATCTTATTGGTTGCAATGGGACAAGATTCAATGAAACACTTTTATCCACTTGCTTGGGCAGTGGTGGACAGAGAGACACTTAGAACATGGAAATGGTTTATTGAGCTGCTGAGAAATTCTCTAGACCTGGCAGATGGTGAAGGAGTAACATTCATGTCTGATATGCATAAGGTAGTTGTTTCTGATTTTAGTAAGTTTTTTATTTCAGTTAAATTCTTATACAAATAATACTTTAACTTGTTATGATTTTAATTGTTACAGGGGCTACTGAATGCTGTTAGTCAGGTGTTTCCTAAAGCACATCATAGATGGTGTGCAAGGCACATAGAAGCTAATTGGAGCAAGGATTGGAAAAGTGTACAAATGAAGAAGTTAATGTGGTGGTGTGCCTGGAGCACCTATGAAGAAGAATTTCATGATCAATTGAAAGTCATGGGTGGTGTGTCTAAACAAGCTGCAAAGGATTTGGTATGGTACCCTGCACAAAACTGGTGCAGGGCTTATTTTGACACAGTCTGCAAAAATCATTCACGTGAGAATAATTTTACAGAGTCATTCAACAAATGGATTATAGATGCAAGGGCAAAACCTATAATCAAGATGTTAGAAAATATTAGAATCAAGGTGAGTTGTTACTGTTTATAATATCATCATTTATATTACCTTAATACAGCTGATAGGTTTTATATAGGTTAGATTAATGTGGAATAACACCGAAAATTAGAGTTTGAGATTTTTATAGTTTGGTGATTTTGAGTTTTCAGCTCATAAAGTTGTACTTTTTCTTATTCTTTTCAATTTCTGTTGCTTTTTGTTGTGATCTATGACCTTGTTTCTCTTTATTTGAATCTCTTATATAGCTTGATGTGATTGTTACATTGATAGGTAATGTTGTTCTTACTTCTGTATTGTTATATAGGTTATGAATAGGTTGCAAAAACTTGAAGAAGAGGGTAGAAATTGGAATGGAGAATTTAGTCCATATGCCATGGAGTTGTATAATGATTTCAATATCATTGCACAATGTTGTCAAGTTCAATCTAATGGAGACCAAGGATATGAGGTAGTTGAGGGTGAAGATAGGCATGTGGTGAATCTTAATAGGAAGAAGTGTACATGTAGGACATGGGACTTGACTGGTATACCATGTCCTCATGCCATTAAAGCATATCTTCATGACAAACAAGAGCCACTAGATCAATTGAGTTGGTGGTATTCCAGAGAAGCTTACATGTTGATATACATGCATAAAATACAACCTGTTAGAGGTGACAAGTTTTGGAAAGTTGATCCTTCTCATGCTATGGAGCCACCAAGAAATACATAAATTGGTAGGCAGGCCAAAACTTAAGAGAAAGAGAGAAAAAGATGAGGCAAGGAAAAGGGAAGGGGTGTGGTCTGCTTCAAGAAAAGGACTAAAAATGATGTGCGGACATTGTAGTGCAACAGGTCACAACCAAAGAAGATGTCCTATGGTATGTAATTTTCTTTACTTGGTCAATAGTTACACTAGTTAATTCAATATCTAACTAATTTTGTCATTTTTATAGCTTCAAAGATCAAAACAACCAGCCCAAGATGTGCTTGTGTCAACACCCCAAGCCATTCAAGAAGAATCTGGTATCATGTCTACTCCTGGCTTTGCTGCTTCTTCAAGTCAACCTGATGGTCTTTCAAAATCAAAGGAAATTGAAAAGAACCCAGCTGGACCTTCAAAGTCAAAGAGAAAAATAATTGTTGAGGAATTTGAGGATGGGCAACATGTTGAACCTTCAAGTGCAGTTGCTGATGAGGATGGAGATGAGCATGAAAGTGAAGACGAGCAGACTATTCTAAAGCCAAAGGCAATTTCTGAAGCTAGGACTAGGCTTCAAGCTAAAAAGATGCAGATTCAACCAACTGGTACCAGGAGGATTGACTTCAAAGGAGATGATAATGGTGTGAGCATTCCAACTAATCTACCATACTCACCAAGAAAATTGGCATGGAAAGGAAAAGAAGCTACCACTTCAGATCATTTGACAATTGAAAAGGAGAAAAGAATTGGCAAATTGAAGGCAAAGAGGGGTGGGAAGAAGTAGTTGCATTATGAAGTTTTTTTTTGTTTTCTGGTGTTCTGTTATGGCATGATGAAACTTAAAATATTTTGACTTTTTTGATGTTACTATGTCTTGAACAAGTGTCTGTAACTTTTTGTGGGTTCAAAATATATGACAATGTCATTATCACTTATTTGTGGTGTTGTTGAATTTTGTTTTTCAGTTGCAGTATGTATGTTATTTGGCAGATTGAGTTGTAAGATTTTGCAGATTGTACTTTTTGCTATAAAATTGGCAGATTGTAAATTTCAGTTTGCAAATTATTCTAAAAATTGCAGATTGCTATAAAAATTTGCAGATTGATGAAAAATTTGCTAATTGCATTTTGCTGTAAAAATTTACAGATTACAAATTGATGTGTAATAGCTGTGAAAATGTGAATATTGCAGATTTTTATAAAAATTTGCACACTGCATTTTGCTGTTAAAAATTGCAGATTGCATGTTGCTGTAAATAATTGCAGCTTGCCATAAAAATGTGGATTGTTGTAAAATGCAGATTGCTAAATGGTAAAATGCAGATTGCAAAGAGCTTTTCCATTACAATCAAGATATTAACACGATTACTAACAATTTTCTACAAGCAAAACACAATGACATTACATTAGTTGTAACCTGCAGATTGCTAACATTACATCAAAATACAATTTCGAGACTTAATTTAAAGTCTTCAGCTTGTATTTTCTTTGTATTTGGTTGTTTCTTTTCCTTTTCTCACGCACTCAAACCTTGACCAATTAAACCATATGTATGTCCTTTTGACTTCTCGATGTGAAAACACAGAGCCAGGGCGCTGATCTTTGAATAGAAAAACAAGCCATTCCATATCGCGTTGGTTTGATCTTCCTTTCTCTTAGACGAGTTCTGGACCATTTGGTAGTAGATTATAACCATCATGATGCTTATTCTTATGTTCAACAGGTTTCAACTTCAATATTACTGCAACTATCAAGCTTGCAGCACCAATTAAAACACTGAGTAGCCATAGTTTCCAGCTGAGCGGTGTAGTGCTTGCCAACGTGCCTAAGAACTCAACGATGATAACTTGGAAAACGACAGTGGAAGTTATGACACCGACGAATATCCAGCTTCCAAAAATGCCACGGAACACATTTATCTTCTCCATGTCACTACTGTTTATTTCATTAAAAACCTGTATCAAACCGCGGAAAATATCTCAGTGACAATGTTACACATGTGAATCCATAACAAGGAAAATGTTCATTCATTTTCCATCCGTATACTGCACCAAAGTTTACAGCAAGTACCTGATATAAAACAAATGTGTTGAAAATGAAACTATTGAGAACTATGGTAGCATCTGCCTTCAAGCCTCAGAATCTGCTTTCCAGTGAAGTTGAAAACTAAAAGTATAGCTAGTTGGAAGATACTTTGTCCGATTATATTTCTCCACATCGTCTTGGAAATCAAACTCACTTCCCTTCCAACAGGAGGTCTGTTTATTAGTTCTTCATGTGGTGGTTCTGTAGCCAACACAAGCTTGTCCATTGGTGATGCTCGAGCGATCACCTACATTCAAGATTCGAGCATTTCAGGAACCATTCATTTACACCACACATTTTAAAGATTATCTCGGCTGCACCCTTGCAGAAAGGTCGGCTGTTTCCATCTGGGAGCGCAATAAGCACAGACATCTTTTTCTTTTCCGAATTGAAAGGCTCAACCTTCAGCAGTTTACATCCCCTTCTTTGCTTGCCAATATCACCACCAAGAAGCAATCCATATTCTAATATTGCTGATTCTGTTGGTGTACCGAGAATAGATTTCTTTTCGCCCTTATCCTTAACAACCTCTGCTACCGTATTGTGAAATATTGCCTGCAGAAGCAATGTCATTTCATTTTCACGTATATTCAAAGTTATTGCATCCCGACCTGCATCAGTTTCTACCTTTTTCGTTTTTCACAAATCCATATCTTGTTAACCACCATTCGGTTTGTTGTTAGTGTTCATGTCTTATCTGTGCAGATGCAAGTAGCTGATCCCATCGTCTCACATGAGGAAAGATGTCTCACCAATGCCTTGTTATCTATTAACTTTTTCATTGCAAACGCAAGACTCAATGTCACTGCCAGAGGCAGTCCTTCTGGAACCGCAACAAATCCATCTCTTGTTACCTGGATAAGTATATTTTTCTTCTCCTTATCCAAATCCCTGAACTGCAACGACTGCCTATAATCACTAATTGCAGCAACAACGACTACCAAGAATATACTAAGCAGAACACCTAGTCCATCGTACGTTCCTTTTGGCCAGCCTTCCGTGGCAAATCCCACACTAATGGAGACAACAGCACAAACCATGAGGATAATGAGAATGATATCCTGCAAAGCCTCCCAGAAAACTTAACAAATCCGATGAAGAAGATGAACTCCAAGAGAGCTCCAAGAGCTGATGATGTTGAGGGAAATGTTTAGGGTTTTTTAAAAAAGAAATGGGTAATGGATATTTTATTTGGATGGGTTGGGTATTTTGAAAGATGGGTCGGGTCGATCCAGGTGGATAGGGTGGTTTGGGTCAAACTAATTGAATTTTAATTAATTAAATTTTTAACCAATTACAACATGCCACGTAATAAATGAAATAATTAAAAATATTGACTTGGTATTCTGTTAGCCAAAAGGGCAAAATAGGTCCCTAAAGGTTAACCCCAAGGGTATTTTAAGGCCAAAAGATAAACGAGAGGTATTTTTGTACCAATTCTAATACTATAAGGGTATTTTAGACCCTTCTCCGTTAACAAATTTCATAAGCTATATGAAGATAGAGACTATTGATCCATCTATAGATCAATTCTGAATACATTTAAAATTTGGTTTATAAGTGTTTAATAAATAAAAATAATGATCTACTTTTAAAATATATTTTAAATATTTTATTTAATTTTATTTAATTTTTTATTTTAATTTATTATATATTATTAATTTATGATCACACTTATACTTTTTCGATATATTAATTGAAGTCAAAATAAAACTGATAATAATTAATTATAGTTTTAAATAATAATTTTTTATATCAAAGTAGACATTTTTAGTAAGTATAATTAATAGAAAAATATTAAGAATTAAATAAAGTAAAAGAAAATAAAGTAACAAAATGATACACAATAACTCATAAGTGAAGTAATAACAATATAAGTTAATAGTAATAACATAACTAAAGATGTTTTAGAACAATTTAATTTTTTTGTTATCGTTATTTTTTTTTAGCGTGAAGTTGCATTTTTACGATCATCATTGACTTCATATATAAAAAGATATTTCTATGATTATTTGTTTTTCTTGTTATCTTGGAGATCTTAATATAATTTTTTTAGAATATAATTATATTTTTATTCTTGATCGTCTTAAATGCAAGTATATCCTTCTAATTTTTATTTGTAAAGTTATTTTTTAACATCTTTTTCTTTAATTTCAGTCTAATATATATTATTGATTTTATCACACTTATTTCTTTTCAAGTATATTAATTAGAGCCAAAATAAAGATGAAGATAATTAATATATATAAATATATTAAAGTAGACATTTTTTATATGTATAATGAATATAAAAAATATTATGAATTAAATCAAATTAAATAAAATAAAGTAATAAATATATCACAATAATTCATAAAAGAAAAAAGTAAAGTAATAGCGAAATAAGTTAATAATAATTACAATAATTAAATATGTGAAATTATTTTTTTACCTTGATCATTATTTACATCATAAATACAAAATATTTCAAAATTATTTGCTATATTTTTTCATATACTTTTATTAAAGTGAAATTACATTTATCCTTAATTATCCTACCACTTCATTCTCATGTACAATTAAATTATATATATATAAAGCCTACAAGGACAAAAACATGAAGAGAAATTAAACACAACTGGCCATCCAGCCAACAAGGCCAACCACAACCCACAACTTGCCCCTACAATCTACAAGCCTCTATGACTAAGATAGTAGTCATAGACCAGGACAGAGACCCGACCTACCCTTCAAACACTATGTATACACAAAACCAAAACCTAGTAACTCCGAAGGAACATAGGTGAGCCCCAACCTACTAGCGAAGGTCCGGATGTTGATACCTAGAATCGAAGCTTGAAAGACTTGAATAAATTATCAATGATTTCGGAACTTTTTCTTTTCTTTTCCATATTCCAGTACTCTTACAGATAAATATAGACAACCAATATTGCAAGATAACTGCAACTTTTAATTTTAATTCTTTATTATAAAAAAAACAAACAAATTGAATGATAGGTGTAAGTCCTAAATGTAGACAAACTCTGTGCACTCCTCCAACACTTCCACGTGGAAGTGATGTACCAGTATAACATTATTCTATCTTGCTAAGTATACACTCGGATATTTTGTAGGTTCCTGATAAAAAAATATATATAACTGTTACATATATTATAAATAGTCAAAAAATATATTATAAATAAAGCACACCTTATCCTTGTCATAATTATATACTTTTTATTTCTTTCAAAATCTTGCTAATTTACAGCACATTTCTAAAATAAATACATTTACAATCATATCGTCAGTACCCCCTTGTTTTCATAAGAAGTTAAATCATTTTATTGAAAGGAACTCTAACTTATATATTTATTGAATTTCATTTAAATTTAACATTCCTAGATCATGTCCGATACTATAAAAAAATTTAAAATTTAAACTCGTAAGTCTTCGATATCGAACAAACGATGACCTTAAACATGTTTTTTTGTGGAGTCTGATTAAAATATGTAACAGTTTACGTGATTTAACCTTCGCGGTGAGGTTGTCAGGGGGTTATGGGGGGCGGGAGACCCCATTCTAAGGAGGGGTTTGAGGCAGCACCCCGACCTAAATTTAGGCTGTACTATTTATTTTCATTTATTTTCTGTTACAAAAAATAATCTGATTTATTAATATATATATACCCTACTGCTGTGAAAGTTTACTCACGGGGTGTTATCACAAAATATTGATTTCTCTCTCTCTCTAGATCTCTCATCTCTTTCTTAAAAAAGTTATTGTTTTCTTCATTCATCAAATGTGTATGTGGATTCGATCCTAACAAAACATATGAGGTGCTATACTGTGGTACTCAACAATTTTGGAATATGCATAAATAATTGGACTAAGACTGTTTTAATATTTTGCGATAATACCTGAGCTATTAGCTTATTTAAATATACCGTCATCATTCAAGGGACAAACATATAAATGTCAATCACCATTTTATTTGCGATCATATTGAAAATGTTGAATTTTTGCGTAAATTTGTTGATTCTGAAAGTCAATTAGCTAATATTTTTACAAAATCCTTACGTAAAGAGAGATTTTTTCTCCTTCAAAACTGTCTTGGCATTACTGTGTTGAGTCATTGATTTTTTCTTGCTTTCCTTTTTTTATATGCTTTGATTTGTGTTCCTTTGTTTTTAAAATTCTAGACTTTTATTCTTTTGAGACTCTTCAATATTTAGTCCATCCGTTCTATCTGTCTCATGATAACTAGATCCTTCTGCTCCCTTCTTCTCTCTTTAGAAGCAATTGTCATCTCTCTTTAGTTCATCCTCTTCCATCTCTCCTCTCAAAAATGACTCACACTAGATCAATGGCATTTCTACAAAAAACTCCCGTCTCTCCCACATAATCTCTTGAAATCAACTCTCACTCTTCTGACTCTTCGGGGGCAGAATAATTTCATTCAATCTTCTTTGACAAAGAAACGTCCATCAGCAGCCAAGAAGAAGGAAACCAAAAAGGCTTAGTAACAATCAAAAAATTTCTAAGTTAAGAGTCGAACTATTTTTCATTTTCTTAGAGGGTCATATCGGGTGATTCAGAAGTTATTCATATGTGTAAATATAATTCTATAGTGTGAGAATGATTTCGATATGATTTAAGTTCACTTCAATGCCCTAACACAAAGTAGAGTTGAAAGTTTCCTTATCGATTAAGTTTTGATATATTGGCTAAACTTCAAATGACCATATCTTTTATAATATAAAGATTTATGTAGACCATAACCTATAAAATTAAATGTATTTGTATCTACTTTACAACACCATCAATTTCGCATCAATTCCATTTCTGAGTAGAAAGTTATGACCATTTTAGTAACTGATACAATGGTGTAGCACCTCTAAAATGGCTTAGGTTTAACTTGAGCCTAACACTTGTGTCTTGATATTTTGAAGTTCTTTAATGGGTTATAGTGATTTTAGGAGGCAGTGTCTAAAGCTTCATGAAGTTTGGAGGTCAAACGTCCATGATGTTCGAAAGGTTTGCATTGAAACGTATGTGTGCGCCTTAGTGTGTTGTATCGAGTTTTACGTGTTCGTTTGGGATGAAATTGATGTGAGAGGTCCTAAACTCGTGTTTAAACATATTTTAGTTGAAAACGCCCGGACAAAACTCCCGAAGGACCAATAAAGGGTCCTTGAGGAAGGACCCATGTGTGAGCCAAAAGCTGTCAAACTAGCCCAACCTACGGAAGGCAATCAACGCCCAGTAGGCTGGTTGATGCCCTGTAGGTGAGGGGCATAGGTTTACACTTAGGAGTGGGAGCTTATACTCCATTTGGGCCAGCCACTGACACAAACCACGGACCAGCAGAATGGTTCGTTGGTTGGGTTGACAGGGCGTAGGTGAGTTGGCCCTCGATGGGCCTGCATTTCACTATAAAGTTTCGGCCAATGCTAGGGGTGTTTAGGTAATTCACCTAGAATTCTAAAAATGAATTGGGAGGTTTCCTAGGGGTATTTTGGATATTTTATGTTGGTTTATAAGTCTTAAACACTTAGATGAATTCATTATTCTAAATTAAAATTCAAATTCCCTAAAGAACTCTCTAGATTTCCATTGGAGCCAAAACTCAAGATATATCTTGGATTGAATATTCTTTGGTAATTATTCATCAAATTCATGGTCTAACATCAATTAAGGTATGGTCTTCATCCTTGAATCTCTTTTCTTCAAGGAGACAATCTTCAAAGTGATTTCCAAAGTCTTTAAAAGATGAAATTGTCTTATTTTATAATCAGCCATGAGTTTCTTGCATAAAATATTCTGAATCATTGTATATTGATTGAATTTATGTTAAATTGATGATTTTAACCTAAAAACTCTATGAACCCATCTAATTCATGTAACCCTAGATTTGACTACTTTGAGGGTGATTTGATTATGCCATTAGATATGCTATTAAATTCTTGTGTAGTTTGGTTAGGGCTATTGAATTATGGATGAATCATTCTAGAACTTTTAGTAGGCTGCCCTAAGTTCATAAATTCATGATGTATTATCTTTGATTCATTATGTATTGTAATTATTGGATTGAATTGATGATCATGACCATGGTAACGACCTTTGAGTATTGTGTTGGATGAATTGGCTATGGATTGAAGTTGTGAGGTTGGA